TTTTAGGGACTGGCTCTGTGGCCGAGTGGTTAAGTTCACACACTCTGCTTTGGTGGCCCAGGGTTTTGCCAGTTTAGATCCTGGGCCTGGACATGGCACCGCTCATCAGGCCATGCTGAGGCAGTGTCCCACATGCCACAACTAGAAGGACCCACAACTAAAATATACAACTATGTACTGGGGAGACTTGGGGAGAAAAAGAAAAAAAAAACGAAGAAGAAGATTGGCAACAGTTGTTAGCTCAGGTGCCAATCTTAAAAAAAAAATACATTTTATAAGGCTATAGCTACCATAGATAGTGATTCCTCTGACTGATCCGGGTAAAGTAAACTGAAAACCTTCTGGAAAGGATTCACCATTCTATATGCCATTAAGAACATTTGTGATTCATGGGAAGAGGTCAAAATATCAACATTAGCAGGAGTTTGGAAGAAGTTGATTCCAGTTCTCATGGATGACTTTGAGGGGCTCAAGACTTTAGTGGAGGAAGTAACTGCAGATGTGGTGGAAATAGCAAGAGGACTAGAATTAGAAGTGGAGCCTGAAGATGTGACTGAATTGCTGCAATCTCATGATAAAACTTTAATGGATGAAGAGTTGCTTCTTTTTCTTTTTTTAAAAAGATTGGCGTCTGAGCTAACAACTGTTGCCAATCTTTTTTTTTTTTTCTGCTTTTTCTCCCCAAATCCCCCCAGTATTTAGCGGTATATTTTTTTAGTTGTGGTCCTTCTAGTTCTGGCACATGAGATGCTGCCTTAACATGGCCTGATAGGTGGTGCCATGTCCGTGCCCAGGATCCAAACCCTGGGCTGCTGGAGCAGAGCCCACAAACTTAACCGCTCCGCCATGGGGCCGGCCCCGAGGAGTTGCTTCTTAAGGATGAACCAGGACACGGTTTCTAGAAATGGAATCTACTCTTGGCGAAGATACTGAGATTGTTGAAATGAAAACACAGGACTTAGAATAGCACATGAACATGGTTGATAAAGCAATGGCAGAGTTTGAGAGGATTGACTTCAATTTTGAAAGGTCTACTGTGGGTAAAATGCTATCAAACAGCATCACACGCTACAGAGAAATCATCCATGATCAGAAGAGTCAATCAATGTGGCAAACTTCATTGCCGTCTTACTTTAAGAAATTGCTACAACCACCCCAACCTTCAGCAACCACCATCCTGATCGGTCAGCAGGCATCAACATCGAGGCAAGACCTTTCACCAGTAAAAAGATTATGACTTGCTGAAGGCTCAGATTATGGTTAGCATTTTTTAGCCATAAAGTATTTTTAAATTAAGGTATATACATTGTTTTCTAGACATAGTGCTATTGCACACTTAATAGACTACAGTATAGTGTAAACATCACTTTTATATGCACTGGGAAACCAAAAAACGTGTGTGCCTCGCTTTATTGCAGTGGTCTGGAACAGAACGCACAGTCTCTCTGAGGTACGCCCGTATTTTTGAATCATTAAAGGTCCACTAGCTTTCTTTCACTCGTAGCCCTCATTTTCCGTGGTAGTTTTATCTGAAAGAAAATGAAACACTCCCAAAGAGTGTTTGAGCATCTGAACTGAGAATCTTATTCAGGAAAACTTTCTCATGTTCTGTAATTTTCCATTAAACAAAGGTAGCCAGGAATCACTCTGCTTTCTCCATCTCCCATCTCTCCTCCTTCATAAGATTTTTGTTTTTGTTTTCTATTTCATTTTGAAAGTTCTTCATGAATACAGTGATCTCCTAAATAGGGTTCCCACTCTCCAAGGGGTATACAAGCCACCCATTAGAGTGAAGAAGAAAATATAAACATATATTGTAATGTGGAAAAGAAATTAAACCTTACTAATATTTAATATACACGTTAATACTGGTCCATCACATATACACTTTACCCACACCTCCCCCACCCCCAGTCCAGCAGTTGGGCACACACCACTGACGGTAAAAGATGTGACTTGAAAGGAAAACAGAAATTTCACATTTTGGGGAGGGTTGACAGAGGCACCCTGAACTACTTCCTTTGAAAACATTATAGTTCGGTGTGCCTGCTTTCAGGAGATTTACAGCAATTATCTTAGTAAAATCTTTACTATACCGTGTGTGTAAGTATTGCTGCCACAACAAATCACACAAACTTAGCTGGGCTGAAGTCAAGATGTCAGCAGGCTGAGTTCCTTCCTGGAGGGGCTAGAGGAGAATCTCTCTCCTTGCTCATTTGGGTTTGTTGGCAGATTTTGGTTCCCTGTGGCTGTATGACTGAGGTCTCTCCATTTTTTTAATGACTGTCAGCTGAGGGCCATTCGCAGCTTCTAAAAGGCACTTCATTTCTTGGCTCATGGCCCTGTTCCTCTATCTCTAAAGCCTGCAACAATAAGGCAAGTCTCTCTCATATTTTGAATCTCTTCTCTCTCCTCTCCCATTGCATTTCTCTGGCCCATTCTTCTGCTTCCCTTTTCTACTTGTAAGGACGCATGTGACTAGATTGGTCCCACCTGGATATTTCAGGGAAATCTCATATTAAGACCCTTAACTTGATGACATCTGCAAAGTCTCTATTGCCATGTAAGATAACATATTCAAGGATTCTGGGGATTAGCATCTGGGCGTCTTTGGAGGACCATTTTCTGTCTACCACACCATGAAATTATTTTGTGCCACAAAGAGGTTCACCTCCTACCTACACCATAGTAAATAAATAAATAAATAAATAAATTTTTTTTAACAAATATCTGTTTGAATATCTTTGAATTGAAAGGTTTGGCCCATTGCTAAAAATATTAAAATGTTCAATCTTTCAAATTGCAAAAACAACTAGGAATTGACATTAGGAAAGATTGAGATTTACTACATGAATTTCAACAAAAGCCTTGGAGTATTTGATAAATGAGGTTGAAATGCTAGTATTATGATTTAGCACCAACAGTGTGCTTCTGCCATTGCATTGACTAAGCATTGAGAGTGAACTTAAAACCAATTGTCAAAATGGTTTTTGACAAAAAAAAAAAGAAGTGAACCTTTAAAACTTATATCCACACAAAAACCTGCACATAGCTGTTTAAAGCAGCTTTATTTATAATTGCCAGAACTTGGAAGCAACCAAGCTGTCCTAAAGTAGGTGAACGGATAAACTCGCCAGACAATGGAACATTATGCAGTGCTAAAAAGGAGAGAGCTATAAAGCCAGGAGAACACATGGAGGAACCTTAAATGCATATTACTAAGTTAAAGACGGCAACCTAAAAATGTCCAACTGTGTGTTCAATGTCATAGGTACAACTATATGACATTCTGGAAAAGACAAAACTACGGAGACAGTAAAAACATCAGTAGTTGCCAGGGGCTAGGAGTAGGAGGAGGGATGAAGAGGCAGTGCAGAGGATTTTTGGGGAAGTGGAAATACCCTGTTATGATACCACAATCATTTTACACGTATCCAAAGTCATAGAATGTACACCAGCGAGAGTGAAGCCTGACGTAAACTATGGCCTTTGGTGATTATGATGTGTCAATGGAGCTTCATCAATTGTAATAAATGTGCCACTCTGGTGTGGGATGTTTATAATGGGAGAAGCTATGCATGTGTGGGGACAGGGGTATATGGGAAATCTCTCTATCTTCCTCCCAATTTTGTTGTAAACCTAAAACTGCTCTAAAAATATAAAGTCTTAAAAAACCAAAAAAATGAAGTGAACCAGATTCTAAAATCATTTTATGAAATGTAAAATGACAGTGTGAAAAATACTGAACACTATCACATAGCTTTCACCAAAATAAATCACATCAAACGAGTGTAAAAAAGTTTTAAAATAAAATCTATTTTATTTCTTTCTCTTTATTTTTTGCCTAGAAAGATTCACCCTGAGCTAACATCTGTTGCCAATCTTCCTCTTTTTGCTTGAGGAAGATTTGCCCTGAGCTAACATCTGTGCCAATCATCCTCTATTTTGTATCTGTGTTGCTGTCACAGACGGCTGACAAGTGTTGTTGTTCAGCACCCGGGATCCGAACCTTTGAACCTAGGCTGCCCAAGTGGAGGACGCCAAACTTAACCACTATGCCATGGGGCTGGCCTCTAAAATCTATCTTGAAATATTGTTTAGTCTATCTTCATTTCATCAGTTAAAAGGGTTTGTGTTCTTAAATGGATATTATTAATATAGCAATAATTTATGTAACAAATAAATATGTTGCTGTAAGTAAATCTCCTTTATAAATAAGCAAATACAAATATACAAATAAATGTTTATAGTGCATGTCCTAAACTTTTACTTATAGGTGTGAACCTTCAAATTTAAAATTATTACACTAATAAGCTCATACTAGCTGCATTTGGTTGCTGCATTACAAGTTAAAACTATCTAAAAGAAATGTATATCAATCTGAAATCATCATTTTGCAAGAGATTTATAACAGGTAAATCAGATCTTGATGTGTCATCATCTCAATTTAGCCACTTAAAAATGTTCTAAAAGAATGGTTACCAAGGAGCCCAGAATCTTCCCATTTTGAAAACATTTGGCAAACATTTTAAAAATAACGCTTTTTCTAATAGGTAACTGAATTTCAAACACTGAACTTCAAAAGTCACAGGAACATGTGAGCTATCATTTATACTTCTTTAGAGTACTGGGGATTTTATTCACTGGTTATCTTAACACATAACCCTTCATTTCTTGCTGTGAAAACAGCCAAATAAAGTTTTCTAAATGCACTAGCAACAGCTAGAAAACCTCTGGTTCTCTTGGTTTCTTTATGGCTGCTGTGTGAGGGATATTTTTTGTGACTAGAAAAACCAGTCACAAGCAAAGTGGTACATGTTGTTAGCAAACGGGTGATGAATTACAGATAGTGATCATAATTCTATTTTTCTTTAGTAGAATGCATCTTTTCCCTCCCAAGTAGTGGTTTTTTATTTGTGGTTTTTGTTTGCCTCTTTGTGGCTAGTCAACACACACAGCATGTTCCTTTTAAAAATATAAGTTAAATTCATTCCACTTACCAAACTATTCCCTGAGCGCCAGAGCCAATAGGCTTTAGATTCTGGTAGCGCTTGAGAACGGTGAAGGTTGAGTCTCCCACTTCCACGCTGTAGAACTGGTTGTCAACTTTGCTTTTGCTCATGTTGTAATGTTTGGCAATATATGACACATCCACTTGTTTATGGAATCCCTGTGGAAAAGGAGAACAACAGCATGAGACGAGCGACAGACAGAGTGATAATGAGATACAGAGAAGCCTGTTCTTTTAATGGTTACTAACACTTAGTCACCTATCATCATTATATAAACCTGTATTTCACATAGAAAAGGTATATATTAGTCCATGTAAGGCAACCTGGAGGTAAAGAGCTTAGAAAAAAATGCACAGAAAAATTTGTTTTCAATATTAAAACTATTTATAATAAAACCATCTTAGATTAGATCTGGATAATTGTTTCTGAAATGATTCATTAAAACTATTTAATTATTTACAGAGCAAACATCTACTGAACACATCCTGGTCCCAGAGACCGTGCTAGATACTTCAGGTGATCCCTGTTCACCCATTAGAATAGTCATATGAGGAAGGATAAAGATCGTATCAACATCCCTTCCTCAAAAAGAACTGAGATACAAAATAATGCTACTTTTAATTTTTAAATTAGGTAAATTTGAATTAAATCATGTTGACTTCATTTGTTCTCAATTAGTACCAAAAATGCTAACATCCTGCGTTAAACACTGAACAATTTTAGTCCAAATTAACATTATTCTAAAATGCCACATGATGCCTTTTTATCTTTTGCAATCTTAGGTTTTAAATATCTCAATTGTTGCATCTTCTGTTTATCTTTAGGAGAAGTTCTTCCATCTACTAATTATATGTAGCAATTGAAGAGACTGTCCTTGAAATTTCAAACCATGTTTTTTGAATATATAGAATATAAGTATCCATTATCTGTGATTATTGTTTACCCATAAATGATCTTATATTGCATTTTATGGCATTAAATTGTTTGGGTTCTATAGCTAGAAGGGACTTCATAGAATACCGTCTCGCCTGTTCCTTGTGGCCCATAATGGTGGGTGCCTACCTAGCAGTCATCTCCTCTCCTTTGTGCTGATTTCATTCCGGTTTTGAGAATGAAAACCGTGGGTTCTGTGGGTTCCTTCCCTAAACCAGAAATTGAAAGTTGAATGGTCCACACCAGTGGTTCTCATTAGAGGTGGCAGTAACCCTCGGTGGGCATTTGGGAGATTCGTGGGCATGCTTTGGTGTGCCACAATGACAGGCAATGCAGCTTCATTTAATTTGCTTATCAAACAATGCTGGTTGGCCTGCAGTGAGTGGGACATTCCTACACAATGAATAATTTCCTGAATACCTCACAACCTTTGAAATAAATCAAAGCTTTAATTAGCAAAAAAAAATTCCTTTAATGTTCTGAGCCCAGAATCTAAAGGATCTTTGCATAGTTTTAACACACATTAACTTCTGAAAATCTAACTCTCATATAATTTGAAAGAAGATTTAAATCTCCTTAGGCTTTGAACCTCTGATTGGTCATACAAGCATTTTTCTTGGAGAGTTTTCGCATTTCATTTCTAAATAAAAAATCGAAATAGAACTACAAACTTATTCGGCCCTGTATGCCCTCGGAAGGGAAGCTAGGGAGGGTCAGTAACGTAACTGAGGAGAATGCAATGCGGACACGGTGGCAAAACCTGCAAATCTAGTGCAAGGACATTAGGACTCCAGATGGATTTCAGAGCAGAATACACGTGACAGGCACCAGCCTCCAGTTGGGAGAGAGAGAGGCTAGCAGCAATCCAGTCCAAAGGCCCAAAGGCACACAGACTGCAAAGAACAGAGTGGACCATCGATTAGGAATCTGGGTTGTTTGGACTGAAGACTGAAAATTCAGATAATTCGCAAATACAATAATGAGAGGTCTGAAATCCAGGAGGCAGTCTGCATGAAACAGGAAATTAAACAAGACTATTAAGAATCAGGACATTGGAAGTCCCAGACTCAAGGACTGACAAAGTCTCAGTATCCAGACAGGTCAGCAGGTGGCCAAATGCTATAACGGAGTATATCATTTCATCCCAGCAATTGTTCATACTCCTGAGAAGTACCCTGTAATTTTTTTGCAGTGTATTCCTAGAACAGAACTTTTGATATAGTGGGGAAGCTATAAATGGACTTGTGGTAGTTTGGTAAAATGGTTAAAACAATCATAGAGCTTACACTAGTAGCAAAATTTTAGCAACAAGAGAATTCCCAAAGAGAGACAAAAGCTATTCAAATGAAATGCCTAATGCCCTGATGCCTTTTCTAAAATAAAAATTATTCGGTGATCTCTTATCTCCATTTCAGAGCATATAATTTCTCACCATAAGATTGAAAATCATCATTATAAAGTTTGTGAATTCACACACACACACAAAATTTCCTTTCAAGTATCTTCTTTATACCTAGTTTTGAATTAAACTTTAGGTGAAATTTAAAAGTTAGAAAATACATTCTTGAGAATACCTTAAGTAATTGGGAAAAAGCTATTTTAATTATCAAACATTGAGACACAGAGATAACAGCACTGGAAATTTTCTTGGATCTATGTAGTACGCAAAATTTGATGGCAAACATGTCATATTCAAGCACTCCCCTGGATCTCATCCGTGCCCCAGGCTTACAAATCCAAACTGAGTTTCCAAAGGCCCAGAATATATTTAGTAGAGTATATTTTATCCTCAACGTCCATGCAGCTTCCTTGTCATAAAGTTCAAATATAAACTTTTCTCTATAAAATGTGCCTATGCAAACATGCCATTAAGCACACTATGGAAAAATATTATCAACACTAAAAAGATTTTTCTCCAATTATATGCTTTAGTATATCCTTGGTCCAGGTCACAAAATTGGCGATTTGAACACAGGAAGAGAAGAATCAAAAATTCATATTGGGAAGGCATGACTGGACAATAGTTTAAGGTAGAGATTTTGAAGTTTTAACATGGATCAGAGCTACCTGAGGAGTTTGTAAAACAGATTGCTGAGGCCCACTGAAAAGTTTCTGATTCAACAGGATTAGGGAAAGGCCTAATGTGTTTCTAACAAGCTCCACACTTCGAGGACCCCTATCTTAGAGAACAGTAGATCTGAGAGATGCCACCATTCAAAACTTCATTGGAGAGGCAAAAACTGGAAGCAATACAGGTCAAACCAAGCAAGCAAAGGATGTGGATGTTAGAAATACTGTCACCACGACACTCCTCGGTATCAGCACCTCTTTAGCAGGCCCAGATGTCACATTCCCAGGGATGTGCTTTCCTATCTCATAGGTACAAGATAGTGCCCAATTAATGTTCTGTCAATTAGCTCACAAAAATAGAGATTCCATGATCTACTTATATTAAATTTATATTAAAACATTTGACTATATTAAACTCACAGGTATTCATAAATGCTCATCAAAATAGAAACTCCCTTTCCAGAGAAGAATGTAATATGTTGATTAAGTTCATTATAAATAAGGAATATTATATTAAAAAATTATAGGGGCTGGCCCCATGGTGTGGTGGTTAAGTTCACATGCTCTGTTTCAGCAGCCCAGGGTTTGCCAGTTCCAATCCTGGGCACAGACCTAGCACTGTTCATCAAGCCACACTGTGGAGGCATCCCATATAAAAATTGAGGAAGACTGGGATAAATGTTAGCTCACTGACAAACTTCCTCAAGCAAAAAGAGGAAGATTGGCAGCAGATGTTAGCTTGGGGCCAATCTTCCTCACACACACACACAAAAATTATTAATCACCACGGTGGTAACTTTTGGAGATCAATAGGGTTCAAAATAACTATAGGTTTAGAATATTCTATTGTTGATTCAAATTATTTTAAAAAATAACTCATCCCTCCACTGAATATTAACCTTACATTTAAATGACTCAATTATTTCTATGTGGATATAATAAAATTTTCTTTGCAAAACTTCAGAGCAAACTCATTTCCTCTCCATCTGCAATCTGCCAAAAAACTGAAAGCTAAATTAAAAGAAGACCTATTGCCACTAGCAGTTTGGTAGGCAAGAGGAAATCTGAATATAATCTCTTCTGAGAGAAGACTACATTTTATAAGCAGACCTGTGAGAAAGGGCCTTTTGCAATGAGTCCTCACCTTCAGTTCAGTTGCTAGCCTATAGCTACGGAGTTTTGCAAAGAAAAATTCCCCACATTTCTGATCTTATCCTGCAGGTATCCAAAGCCTTGATTGCATTTTGCTCAAATTTCACAGCTGTATTCCACGAGCCCTCCCTCCTCATCGTCATTTGTGCATGACTGTCCTATGTTACTGATAGTCAGTTCCTGAGAGGAAACACCAAGCTTTAAGAATCTTTAGAGATTAAACTTCCCTAGTTTCTTTTGAATGATGTAGCTGAAAACAGCACAAAGCCTGGATTAGTTCCGCACTTAATAGCTGCGAAACCCTTGAGCAAGTCATTTAGTGTTTTGGGGTTGTAGACAATCTCTCCAAAAATCTAAAATATAAAAACAATGCCATTTATTTCACAGACTACCAAAAATGATTTTCCATTTCCCTGTTGGATTATATAGGTTTTCCTTTGCCCTCCCCTGTCAAAATATCTTTTCCTTTGAGGCTCTGTTCCCCAATGTTGGTGTAAAAGTCTTCATTCCCTCCAATGACAGTAAACTTCTATAGTCATTTTATTCTTTCATTCATTTATTATTTATATTCTGCGTGGTTCCAAAAAGGATTTGTGCAGCTCGCCATAGAAGATATAGGAACAATAAAACCATTAAATCCGGTTTTAAGAACAAACGTCAAATAAAGTAGGCTAGGAGATGACAATTTTACCAGGAGGTTTAAGTTATGAATATCTACTGCCCTGAGCACAAAATTTAGTGTCATGCTTCAAGAAAGCCAAAGGGAAAAAATAATTACACGACAACAAAACCAAGTGAGTGGCAAGCTTTGATTCATTAATCTCAAAATATATCATACCAGTTCACAGGAAAGGTAAAATTTCCCTAGCACTTAACTTCAGGAAGAATAAATCCCATAGTTCTTTATATAACAATACTGGAATCCAACAACAGGCAGGAGATGCAATATTTTTTAATCAAAGACAGAAATATGTTTCATGTGACTTATATGAAACCAACTGCC